ACTTTGTAGTTGGTTCTCTACAAAGATAACATCTTTGCTGAAGATAACCTTATGGATAGTAGTATCCCACAAGCGATATCCCTTAACTCCTTTAGCATACCCCAAGAATATGTATTTTCTAAATTTTAAATCTAGCTTTGTAATTTCTTGGGTATTGTACATTACGTACACTGGACTTCTAAATATATGGAGGTTGGAATATTCAGCTGGCTTGCCAATCCATATCTCCATTGGCGTCTTTAACTGTATTTCAGTTGATAGAGATCGATTCACCACATAACATACGGTTTTTACTACTTCCACTCAAAAAACTTTATCCAAATTTACAGTTGCCAACATTACTCTTATTCTTTCTAACAGAGTTCTGTTCATCCACTCTGCCACTCCATTTTATTAAGAAGTAAAAGCAGTACTGAATTATTTTTTGATGCCTTCTTGCTTGCAGAATATAAGAAATTCACCGTCTGCATATTATCCTCTATTATCTGACCTCAAGTACTTGATCTTCTTTTCAGATTCAAGCTCGAATCGCGCTTTGTAGGCTTTAAAAATTAAGAATACATCCGCCTTCTTTTTGATAGGATACATTCAACATCTCCTGGAGTAATTATCAATAAAGAACACAAAGTATTTTGCTCCTTTCATGGATGTAACTGGTGCTTGCCATACATCAGAATGAACTAGTTCCAGAATAGTCTTGTTTCTAAAACTCGATGTGTTGAACTTTAGATGATGCTGCTTACTTATAACACAATGCTCGCGGAATGAAAGAGCTACCAAATTAAGTCTAGGAAGTAGCTTCTGGTTGGAGAGAATCTTCAAGCCTCGTTCTTGTTTGCGTCGGGAACAGATTTCATTACAGCTTCCATTACAATCGTTTATCATTACAATAGAAACAAAAGAGTGAGCTTTGTGATTTGTATAACTTCTCTTTACAACAAAACAAGATTAGGGATGCTCCCTAGAAATACACACAGAAACTCTTTATTAGCTTTTTCTTGCGTGAGATCTTTGCTCGTGCCGCAGACGCTTTGATTCGTGGATCATCGATTCAATGATCTAAGTTGATCGTGAAGAAGGTTTTGTGTTGATGTTTCGTTTTAGAAACAAGAACAAAAGTAACTATCTTAGCAAAGTAAGACAAATACTCTTCTCAAGATCAAATCAATATTTGGTCTCAAGGAAAACACCGAATGCTCTTAGGATTTCTTGAAAATAGTGAATGACTCTCTCTCTGGATCTCAAAGTTTACCAATACGGCCGTCTCCTACTGTCAATTCGGTCCACCCTGTGTATATAAGGGTGCTAAAGGGGTATTTATAGCCCTTGGAAGTCGTAACTGAATATAAGAATTCAAAACAACTTGAAACCGATAATTCCTATTTCCGAGATAGTGTTTACTGTCTCGGATGAAGGAGTTATTCCAGATATTTTTGTAATCGCCGACCGCTCTGTTAAATGCTGTGATTTTCAGGGATTGTGGGCGAATTTTTAGTTTGTAACGGCCTCTCCGTGTTTATGGATGTTTCCAAGCAGTTATGGAGTCACATGGTCCCCACAAAAAGTCACAAAATCATTAGAAAACACGAGTAATTATCCTATAGTTGGCAGGACAGTTCTTACTGTCTCGCATTTCCGAGACGGTCTACACTGTCTCGGTTATGATAGTCTACACTATCTCGGTTATGCGAGACAGTGTATACTGTCTCGGTAACTGTGAGACAGTTCCAATCCATTTTGGCTATTGTTTTGCATTTTCATTTGCTTCATTTTGCATTGGATGATCCTCTCTGACTTAGATGATGACGTTCTTTGTCTTCTCTTCGTCTTGAGCTTAGTTTTGGGCTTTATAGACAATTTTTTATGCCTACAATTCTGACATGCGGCCTAGTTTGCGATGCCACATCATGATTTGTTCTTCTCTGTGGCTAGTTGATGCTACACATGAATCAACTTTATATAGGGTTTCTCCCTTGAGCATGTATATATTTACATCTATCTTTTCTCCTTTTATCACAACAAGCCCCCCCTCTAACAATCTTCATGATCTCGTTTTCTATATGGGTTTTGCACCCAAGCTGATCTAATTATCAAAAAAACAATAGATTCTTCTTCAAGCCCTTCACATGTCACACATCTTAAATGATGCATATTGTATCGTCAAACATTTTGATTTTGATAGTGCCAATACCAGAAATCTCCAAGGCATGATCATTACCCATGAATACAGATCCTCTTGAGATAAGTTCATATTTGTGAAACCATTCTCTCAGAGAGGTCATGTACCAAGAGGCCGCTGAATCTAGAAGCCAGACATCAGCAAACATCTTTCTGCCTTCATCAACAGTGGTTGTTCTACTGTATAAAATTTCATCATCGTCTGATATGCTGACAACGCATCCTTGAGACGTTGATGGCTCTAAAGACTTTTTATCACCACTCTTCTATTTGTGCCAACACTCTGATTTCACGTGCCCCTTTTGCCACAGTTATAGCATTTGATATTCTTCTTACTTCTTGATTTTGATCTACTATGGGTATGACTCCTACTGGAGTCATATTTCGTTGATCTTCCTCTCGTCACCGATAAGGCCTCTACTTATTGCGAACTTGCCTGCTTGTCTTCCTTATTTTTGCGTCCACTTTCTTCCTCCAGAATAGCGGCTGTAATGTTATCGAAGACTGCATTGTCCGTAAGGACGTTGTTTGTGAGATTAATGATGAGCTGATCATACGAGTCAGGTAGACTCTGATGTAGAAGCTCTACACGTTCATTCACACTGATTGCATGCCCCGTTGTTGTGAGTTGGGAGAACATGTTTAGGGTGTTGATGTGGTCAGTCATTGATGAAGATTTCATCATCCTTAGAGTGTAAAGTCTCATTTTTAAGAATATTTTATTGTGCATGGATTTTACATCATATAGTTTTATTAGAGTATCCCAGATCTCCTTTGATGTCTTCTTCTCCTCTATACTTGACAGTACCCCATCTACTAATGCCAGATGGAGATTAGTAATAGCATTCCCGTCCATCTCGTTCCATTTTTTATCATCTGTGATGTCATCTGATCTTGCACCGATGACGCTAGGCAATTATTTTTTTCTCAAAATAGCATTTATCTTCAACTTTCACAGTGAGAAATTACTCCCGTTGAATTTCTCGATATCGAACTTTACCACCATTATCTCTACCATGAACAGTAGCTTCTTACTATTTAATGTAAACAATAACTTTATTTATGAACAGTAATCGTATCCGTGAATAGTACTATACTTGTGAATAGTATCATATTTATGAACAGTAATGTACTCGTGAATAGTACCATCGTCTTCAAAAGATAAATTATAATCTAACTTATTTTCTGATATAGAGGATCCACATTTCATGGCAGTCACAGAGCATACGATAAGTAGATACACGCACTCTAAGTCAGGCTCTGATACCACTTGTTGGAACAAACTCATGGCCCAATAGAGCAATGCCCTAGTGAATAGTAGAGCAGAAATAATAAAATGAACACACAGATTTACGTGAAAAACCTTCTAAATAAATTTAGGGTAAAAACCATGAGCAAAGATAGAAGAATCCACTATAAGAAAAAACTTTGGAGTTACAATCTCTCCTTTCAATGAGAAACTCTCTCTATTTTTCTCTCTTTCTCTCTCCCTCTCTCTTTATTTTCACTCTTAATTGAAGACACTGGCATGATCAGAACTTAATGCTAGGGAGAGCTATATATAGGCGATTTTGTGGTAGGTGCGCACTGTTGTTACAGTATTGCTACAGTGATATTTAATAGGTCCGCGATTGGTGATCACTGTAGCGGTAGGTGCTTACTGTAGATACAATAACTTTTCATTACAAGATGCCTCAGAAGCATACAACCCGGTTAACCCCTCCAGAGGAGGAGTCAAGCCTTGGCTGACCTGGGAGACCAAGGAGAATAGCATCTTACTCGAAAAGGGCAAGGGGCACTAGTGGCCCGCTTCGTCCATTGACCGAGCAAGTACCTATCTAGATTTTATCAGCAAGGGGAGCTTTTACGATTACGAGGGGCTACATGGGGACAAACACAACACTCGCATGACCTGGGCCAGCCTCACGGCAGATTCCTAGCGTCAAGCACTCTTGTCAAGGTCCTGTCCTCGATAATTGGGAAAGCTCCCTTTGCTGATAAAATCTGGATAGGTACTTGCTCGGTCAATGGACGAAGCGGGCCACTAGTGCCCCCTTGCCCTTTCCGAGTAAGATGCTATTCTCCCAGGCCAGCTAAGGTTTGACTACTCCTCTGGAGAGGTTAACTGGGTTGTATGTATCTGATGCAACCTGCAAGTATGCAAGAGTAACTGATTATTATATTACAAGTTATATCACATGTGTTGTTACTTCATAGATTATTAACTCATTAGATCATAGTAGGTACTATGTCACACAAGTGTTTTCAATGAGCAATATTCAATCTTTTACCCATAGGAGAACTATTTAATAGTAGCAGAAATCTTTGGCGTAAAACACTGTGATATGCACTCTGAATTGCGTCTGATGTCATGAAACCCTTCATTTATGGGATAGTTGTGGATGGACCTCATGTAGTATCACCCAGTTGCGGATATACCCCCTATAGTTTCTATTAATTTTTTTGCCTCTTTAATCCTCAGAGAAAGAAAGTTTGTTGTTAGATAACCAGTTAAAAACTACATGTTAACATTGATAATGTAAAATATCTAAAATGATGGGCAAAAAGAACACACAGATCATGCCAAGTAGTAGAATGATCCAAGCAACACACATTAGTTTTGATATTAAGTGCATGTCGTCATATATGACACAGAAGATGGTTCAGTAGGTACTTTGTTTCCTGGTGATAAGTATATTTTCCAAGTTTATAGAAAGAATATATAGTCGTGAAAACAACGTAAAATTCAAGATTATATATGCTTATCTAAGAAGGATATATGGTTTACAAAATTTCACATCTTATGAAGAGAAAAGGCTTACCTCCAAGGCTTTTTGCAGCATCTTTCAGGCTACCAGAAAAATATTGCCGAAGAACTTGCAAGCTGACAGTTTTTTCCGCCTTTGCACGCCTCTTTTCAGTTGTCTTTCCGGATTGTGGAAACCAAGCATCACCACAAAAAGAATCCTTTTGATCATCAGTTCTTTGTAAATGTCCAGCCTCTGATGCGTCCCAGTTAGTAGCGACACTGAATTCTTTGATCTCCTTGCTAAATTCCAAAGGTATAGAAGAAGTCGCAACTGAATCAGTTAACATAGCCTCACTTTCGAGCTCCTTGTCGGTTACAACTCTCAAACTCTTGCAAACCTTCTGTATCGTGATAGACAACGAATTAAGCATCAGTTTCTGTTCTTCGCTCTCGACGCAATCCACAGGCAAGAAAAACTCCAGCACAAAGTCAGCTCTTCCAGTGTGAACGCTTCGAAGTCGAATAGCCACTGCTGCCCTTAAATCGAACAGTTTAGCATGATGAGAGAGAGGGTACTGTGTCTTGATGAAATCAGTCACGTTCGGATAGAAACACGGTTGATTCGTCGTAAAAGCTTTGCCAACAACACCTTGACCTATGAGTAAGTGGTGCTCAGCGCAAGCTTCATGAAAGCTCAACATCGAAAGATCATTCACGTAACAAGCAGAAACAACAGGCGATACACAGTCTTTATAGTTTTCGTTGGAGTGTCGGCTTCCTTGTTTATTTTGCTGAATGCATTTGATCCATGTTTGGGCTAGTGGAAGACTATGAGTGTCGCATACAGCTTTTAGTACTGCTTGGATCTCCGGTAAAGCTGCTTGGTACGAATTCTCACTCACCTGAGAAATTAAAAAGAATCAAGACCCTTGTCATTTACTTGGCCGAGGTTGAGTGGTCTATAATGTGTAGGGTAGTCGCTAGCGCACCTTTAATCGGGGAACACTGAGAACATCGGAAGTTCGAAGATCCACTGCCTGCGAATATTATTTTTGCGTTCAGAAATTATCCGAAAGAGGAAGACGTTTTAAATCATTTCTGAGACTTAGCCTTCAAAATCCTCTAGATATAGCACCATAAAGTTCGTCCTCAAAATTAAGAATGCAAAATATTCAACAATACTATTTAAAAGTTTTCCTTAAAAAATAATATTGCATGCAAGAAACAAGCGGTAGGGTGCACTATGTTGATTTTACTCGGAACAATGTGTGCACCTTTGACAACGAGGACTCCAAGGGGACTTGGTTTTATCATTATTTACAGCTTAATTGATATGTAACTGGAGTACGATCAAGCGTCCGAGAAGAAAGGCAGAACAAGGAAAAAATTTGTGATAACCAAGCAAAATGTGTTGGAATATCAAATTAAAATGTTAGAATAAATGAGGTTAATAGCATGAGTTTTAGAAGTGCAATTGTCATAAGTTTAGAAGGGGAAGAGACATAGGTTATGGAAGAATAAGAGTTACTCACTCCTTTATGATATTTTATTTTTATGATATTAAAAGAGGAGTTTAATTTGTGACTATTGGTATGCCTATACGTTTTGTTTTTAAAGCCTATATAAAGGGCTATTGTAATCCTTGTTTCATCAAGAAAAAATTAAAGAAATAAAAGTAAGTTCCTTGTCTTCATTTAGGAGAGTTCTAAGTTCGTAAACTTAAGAGTCAACAGTGATATCAGAGCCACTTGATCCAATTTTTCCATTCTCTCTTCTTCTCATGGCTACCACAAATTATCTTGTCAAACTCAAGTGCCCAAACTATCGAAAGATAACTATGAGAGTTGATCAATCCAAATGAGAGCTTTATTTGGTTCTCAAGAGTTGTGGGAGCTGATCATTGATGGGTTCACGGAACCTACACCAGAAATAGAAGCCACCTACACCGCCGAAGAGAAGAAGGCTCTCAGAGAGCAAAGAAAGAAGGATATCAAGACTCGTTTTCTATCTATCAAGGGTTGAACGAGTCTACATTTGAGAGAGTTGCCGAAGCAACGACGGGCAAGGAAGCATGAGAAATCCTTGCTACCATCTACAAAGGTGTCGAGCGGGTGAAGCGAATTCGCCTCCAAACTTTGAGGGGCGATCTTGAAGCCGCTCAAATGAAAGATGAAATAAAAATCTTCGATTATTATTCACGATTACTTCTAATTGTGAATAAAATGAGGAGAAATGGAGAGAAGATGGAGGACATCCGAGTGATGGAGAAGTTGCTCCGATCCCTTACACCAAAATTCGAGCACGTGATGGCGACAATTGAGGAGTCAAAAAATTTAGAGGAGATCTCAATAGAGGAGTTCTTGGGATCTCTCCAAGTTCATGAATAACGAATGCAAAAGAATGCTAGTTCCATAGTTTTGGAATAAGTACTAGAGTCAACATTGACTCTAAGTAATCAAGCCTCATAAGGTAGAGGTCGTGGTAGAGGCAGGGGACGTGGTCTCCAACAGCAAACCACTCAAAATCAAGTGGAGACCCAAAGCTTTAGAGGATGAGGACGAAGCAATCGTGGAAGATCTACACCTAGGCGTGGAAACAACAAGAATGTTCAGTGCTATAACTGTTACAAGTTTGGGCACTATGCTTCAGATTGTTGGCACAAAACTAAAGACCAAATCAATCTTACCGAAGCAACAAATGATGTGGGTAACAACTCTACGCTTCTTCTTGCTAATGATGATTTTCAAGTGTTGAGAATGATGCTTGGTACCTTGACTCGGGTGCTAGCAACCACATGTGCGGAAAGAAAGAACTTTTCATGGAACTCGCAGAAGGAGTTCATGGAAGTGTGAGTCTCGGAGATTCTTCAAAACTCACGGCTGAAGGCAAAGGGAAGATTAAAATTTACCCAAAGGATGGTAAGCCCGAGTATATTTTCGATGTTTACTATATTCTTAACATGAAAAGTAATATTCTTAACATCAGTCAATTACTCAGAAAGGGATACAAAGTACATATGGAGAACAATCATCTTTGGCTAAAAAAATACAAATGGAGACCTCATAGCTTGTGTTAAGATGACAACGAACCGCATGTTTCCCTTGCATTTAAACACGAAAGTCGACAAGTGTTTTCAAGGACTCATGGAGGTGGCATCTTCGCTTTGTCCATCTAAACTTCAGCGGCCTGAAGTTACTGTCTATAGCTGACACGGTACGAGTTCTACCAACAATCGATCCACCGAATCATATTTGTGAAGGTTGTGTAATTAGCAAGCAACCACGACTTCCTTTTCCTAGTGAAAAATCATGGAGAGCAAATGCACCATTGCAACTTGTTCACACCGACATCTGCGGACCGATCGATCCCGTCTCTTTGGGAGGTAATAGATATTCTATAACCTTCATTGATGACTTCAGTAGAAAATTATGGGTGTACACTCTTAAAGAAAAATTTACTGTCTTTACTACATTCAAGCATTTTAAAGCTTTAGTTGAAGCGGAGAGCGGCCACAAACTAAAAATTCTTCGATCTGACCGAGATGGTGAGTACACATCAAATCTGTTTCAAGAATATTGCAGGGAGCAAGGTATAAAGAGACAGTTTATTACTGCCTACACACCACAACAAAATAGCATTGCAGAAAGAAAGAACCGGACCATCCTCGACATGATAAGAACCATGCTCAAAGAAAAGGGATTGCCAAAGCAGTTCTGGGCAGAAGCCATAGTGTGCTCAGCTTATTTTCTTAACCGATATCCCACAAAGATAGTGAAGAACAAGACACCTCAAGAGACATGGAGCGGTTACACGCCTAGTGTGACACACCTACGAATTTTTGGGTGTGTTGCATATGCTCAAGTACCTAAAATCAAAAGGAAGAAGCTTGACAATCGCGGTAAAAAATATATTTTTATCGGATATAGCGAGGAGTCGAAGGCATACAAGCTCTACAATCCACTAACCAAGAAACTAGTTGTTAGTAGAGACATTGTCTTCAATGAAGAAGAAGTATGGAAGACTTTTCCTTTCGGGGAAAAGTCGGGATTTGAGTCACTTGAATGCTGTTTAGACTTTCTTCTATCAGCCACGTTGATGGTGACTTCAGGGAATTCATCATCTTGGGCAGTTGTTCTTCTTTTGCGGAAATGTCTCGGCTTAGGTTTCGATAATACAGAGACTTTTCGTGGGATGACTTCTCGTTTAAAACAGTCACATTCATATAATGCTGTTTTAACGAGTCGCGCACAGGAACAACGAGAGTTTATCTCTCGAATAACTCTCTTTCGAAAGTTGTCTTCAATGAAGAAGAAGCATGGAACTGGAGCAATGAAGAGACTACCAAAGATCAACCCATGGTGAATGAACTTGATGAGTCTCTACATGAGGAACCATCACCAGCTACGTACGCCACCATCTCATCCACATTCTACACTCTCTCCTACAAGAGGTTCTCCATATTCTGGGGAAGGTAGTAGCAACGGATCTACCGTGTAACGAGGTCCCATCAAAATGAGAAGCCTCAAAAAGATTTATGAGCAGATAGAAGAAGACGAAGAGTCAAATCTCTTCTGTTTATATGGTGATCATGAACCTCATACCTTCCAAGAAGCGGTAAAAGAAGATTGTTAGCGAACAACAATGGAGGAGGAGATCCACGCCATCCAAAAGAATGACATTTGGGAGTTGACAACACTTCCACAAAATCACAAGCTAATAGGGGTCAAGTGGGTGTACAAGATCAAACGCATAGCAAATGTTGAAGTTAATCGGTACAAGGCGGGGCTTGTAGCGAAAGGTTACAAACAAAAGTACGACATCGACTATGAAGAAGTCTTTGCTCCGGTTGATCGAATGGATACGATGAGACTATTAATTTCACTTGCAGCTCATCACAGGTAGAATATATATCATTTGGATGTCAAGTTAGCATTCCTCAATGGCGTTCTTGAGGAAGAGGTATACGTACAACAACCAGAAAGCTTTCTTGTGAAAGGGCGAAAAGACAAAGTGTACCATTTGAAGAAAGCCTTGTATGGCTTAAAGCAGGCACCACGGCCGTGGAACGCTCAAATTAATGGCTATCTTCATCAAAACGGTTTCATTAAATGTCCTTATGAACATGCCATCAACATGAAGAGGAACCATAAAGGTGAATTTTTCTAATAATTTATCTTTATGTTGATGATTTATTATACATAGGAAGCAGTACCGAGATACTTGCTGAATTCAAGGCGGTAATGTTCAATGAATTTGAGATGATGGATAATGGATTGATGTTCTATTTTCTTGGCATTGAAGTGAAGCATCAACAAGAGAGGATTTTTATATCTCAGAAGAAGTACATGAAGGAGATCTTAGAGAAGTTCAAGATGAATGAATGCAACCCTGTGAATACCCCAGTAGCCATCAGAATGAAGCTCTCAAGAGAAGGAGACAGACGTTTCGCGGATTCAACTCTTTTCAAAAGTCTAGTTGGCAGCCTGAGATACTTGATGATCACAAGACCCGATATTTACTTATGGAGTCGGACTTGTGAGTTGCTACATGGAGACACCGAAAGAGACTCACTGGCTAGCTACAAAGAGGATACTAAAGTATATCAAAGGCACACTCAACCTGGGTCTCTTCTATGCATATGATGAAAATGCACAACTAGTTGGTTACTCAGATAGTGACTGAGGAGGTGACCAAGATGAGAGGAAAAGCACCACAGGTTATGTCTTCTATCTTGGGTCAACTGCATTTTCATGGACCTCAAAGAAGCAAGGAATTGTAGCCTTATCTTCATGTGAAACAGAGTATGTGGCGGCTGCATCTACAGTATGTGAAGCAATTTGGTTGCGGAACATATTAAAGGTGTTGGATCATCCACAAGAAGACCCGACCGTAATTTTTGTGGACAACAAATCAGTCATCCAGCTTGCAAAGAACCCAGTACATCATGGGAGGAGCAAACACATAAATACACAATTTCATTTTCTCAGAGACCATGTAAAGCAGAAAGCCGTTGAACTGAAGCATTGTCACACCACTGAACAAGTAGCAGACATATTCACCAAGCTATTATCAGGTGAAACTTTCATGAGGCTAAGAGACATGCTTGGCATAAAGACATTTTGATTTGAAGGGGCGTGTTGGAATATCAAATTAAAATGTTAGAATAAATGAGGTTAATAGCATGAGTTTTAGAAGTGCAAGGGTCATAAGTTTAGAAGGGGAAGAGACATATGTTATGGAAGAATACGAGTTACTCACTCCTTTATGATATTTTATCTTTATGACATTAAAAGAGGAGTTTAATTTGTGTCTATTGGTATGCCTATACGTTTTATTTTTGAAGCCTATATAAAGGGCTAGCTATTGTAATCCTTATTTCATCAAGAAAAAATTGAAGAAATAAAAGTAAGTTTTTTGTCTTTATTTGGGAGAGTTCTAAGTTCGTAAACTTAAGAGTCAACAAAATTCGCAGCTAGCTATCTCAAAAAAGGCTATGTCTGATGGCATACCCAAAAAGCTGAAATAAGGTAAAAGAAATGCATCTGATCAAAGAGTTTAATTAGCTTAGATCTAAATCTTTGTAAATAAATAGACAATGTAAAGGAAACGTACGAAGCAAAGAGATAACGTGCAGGTGTACCCCGGTGATGTATTTATCATGAGGTATTAATAAGAAAAAAAATAAGACATTGAGATTTATTACAATACCATGTACTATGCAACTATGCACTGGCTATGAGTTTATCATGAGGCTTAGTGTAGAGTGTAGATATTAAGAATGACCACGGTGTTGAAATTAGGTCGATGTTAGGAAAAATATCACAAATGTTTCTTCTAAGACCTCTCATGCTCGCTTATCGCATCGAATAATCGTAAAGTCCATAAGAATAGGAAGGATTCTTCAAAGTTGGTACGATAAAAACATATTCTTATTCCTATGTTATTTCCAAAAGGAATATTTTCAAGTCATCCTACAACGCAGGTATCACTACGGGATTCACCAAAGTGCAACCAACACGAGAGCTCAAAGATGAAGCACTTTGGCTCTTCGAGTTTGCATCGACAGTAGAAAACAACCGATGAATGTATAAAAACTTCAACGTCTACAAATTGAATTTAAATGAAACAATATCACAATGATACCCAATTGCTAAAACTAAAAAACAGACTAATTAAAAAAAAAGTTCAAACAAACCTGAAGAGCACTGCAAATACTCTCAATATCCGAACTATAGTTAATCTTCTGCATAGTCAGAACAACCTCCACAACTCCGAGGCACGATCGACTATCTCTCTCAAAAACAGGTATCGCGATGGTCCCACGAACATTACACGTTTGAGCATGATCAACTCGAGGAAACTCGAAGCTGCTAAAGTATCGAACATCTGGTGTCCATTCAGGAACTTTGCCTAAAAAAACTCGGCCAGGCAATCCTAAAGCCTCGTTCGAGTTCTCTTCGGCTGAGAACTGGTAGCCTGCTGATGCTGCTCTATAACTCACTAAACTCTGACAGTTCGTGTCGAGCCAAAATGGCTGGCCAAAGGTTGAGAGAAAGTGTTTGCCTTCCGTACGAATTGGAACCCAAATTTGAACAAGGACATCACTGTCTCTTTGAGCTTCCTTAATGCGTCTCAGTGCATGGATCAGTCTATCTTTTAGAGGAGGAGTTGGGCTTCTTGGTTGAATCAACAAGTAGAGTTTTTGATCAGAGCCCTGTTCTGGGGTTTCATTTTCTTGTGTATCAAGCGAAGGGGTGTTTGTTTGGAACCAGCAATCTCCTGATAACATCTCATCCATGAGATCGAAATCGACTGAAGAACATGACACGGCTCTCTCCAGTGAGCTCCCAGGTCTTTGAGCACTAGCATCTCCCATATTTGAATCCAATAATTTCTTCAAAATTCCATCTCATGAAAAGCTAGCTACTGCTGCAAAGCCCAATTCAAGCAAAACCCATCAAAGGAAAATCACCAAAATTCAATCTTTTTAACTTTTCAGTTAATTATGTCAAAAGTGAACGAGTATCAACAAAATTAATCAGAGAAAGAATATGGGCAACTAGAATCAAAGGAGCATATAAGTATCTTGATCAGTCAAAAAAAAAAAAATTACAACTTGCAGAAGAAAAGAGGAAAAAAAGAAGAAGGAAAAAGCTCCCACTTTTAGTAGATGATTCCAACACAAAGTTGGCGCCTTTTTCTTCTCCTCGTTTGATGCTAGGAACACAAAAGCTATTGAGAAAAACGACAGAAAAATGTTCCAAGCGAAATCCTTCATGAAATTGGAATTTTACTGTGATTTTATTTTGTTTTTCGCACTTTTATTTTTATTTTCATTTTCAGGTGTAAACGGGTATGTAGAATCTCCAGCTACGTCCAGTAGTATCTCTGCAGTACCTTAAGCCTGATAATGGAATCTTTCATCTTCATGGGCCCCACAATCTTGAGTTAAATTACAGAATTGCCCAAGATGTGACTCGTAAACTCAAGGCCTGGAACCTTTCTGCCAGGGGTAGGGATGTAAATTACGGGAGTGGCGTCACGAAAACCGATGATGTGCGTATTATTATATTTTTTGGGCAAGGTGAAGGAACTTTGGGAGATGTATATTCATGAAGGATTCTAGTAATCTTGGGGAATCCTAAGGGGATTCTGATGTAAGATGTCTAATTGCACTTAAAATTTTCTGATTTTTTTTGGATAATTACACTTAAATATCCTCAAGCTTGCATATTTAAGAATACTAGATGGAATGCATATGAACTGTACATAGTCAAATATCTTAATTATTTGCTTTAAGTTTATTCATTTACTATAACATAGTTGCAAAAAACTTTATAATTATCATAGTATATTATTTTTTTTTGGATATTTCATGTGTAAAATCTTGTTGGTTTTAACGTTTTGTCTTTGAAAGAAATAGTGATGTTTAAAGCTTTAAAATATTAATGATTTTAACATTAATTAGTAATTTTTTTAAATATTAATGATGTAAGGGACCAATATGGAAAAAAACTATCATTATTAATGAAAAAAATAAATTCTTGAATTCATCAAAGAAAAATGGTAGGTTTTATCTAGTCATTAAGGATTTTGTTCAGTTATAAAAAATATCTTCCACTTATTGTTTACTTCCACCTATTGTTTATCCGGTGATCGAGTATTATAGATATTCAAGAACTTTTTTCTACAATTTTCTAATTTAGAATGCGCAAATTCAATCAAGAAAGAAAATATAAATAATGTGATCAATTTTAAAATCTCATATTGTACTATTTTTACATCTTCCCAACTACTAATTGATCTGTCAAAACGATTACTCTCTAGTTTTAGAAAATTATAAAATATAGTCTGAGAATGATTTATACATATCATGCACTCATATTGATTGTATTTTAACAAAATAATTCATATCAATCCAATGTCAAACAACATCCAAATATAGCTTACGGAATTACATGAATACAATATCCGCAATGATACACATATCCAAGCTTTGAGCTTCATAAACTTAAAAGAATGTGAGTAATATAAAATGACAACTTAAATAATAAATTTCTCTTAGAGATTCTTATAGTAAAAGATTTTTCGGGTTGATGTACAAGATAAATTTAAGGACAATAACACAAACAAGTTCATTGAGTGATAAACTTGCTATAAACTCCACTCTTATAAACTTGATATCACATGTGCCTGACGTTGTGCTTTTGTTTAAGGGTTAATTGTAGAAAACTCCCCCTCAACTATGGGGGGCATGTCAACCGCCCTCCCCATCAACCCCCCTCCCTTTAAAACTGAGGGGGAAAAAATCTCCATCAAGTTTTGAGTGTTTTATAGATAATCTATCTCAACTTAAAAAATTTTGATTTAACCCATGTGAATTTTTCTCACTAAAACTTAACCTTTCAAAACTAATAGCATTGAGTCATATCTATTATGTAACAAGTACTTGATTTGTAAAGTTAAAAAATATCCATCAACCATAAAAGAATTACATTGGTTTTTACCAAATGAATGAAAAAGAGGTGATATAGAGGGAAAAAGAATTGCAAATTGGCTGTGATCCTTTTATTATCGGTTGATGGTTTCTTTTTAACTAACATTACTTTCTTCAAGAGAGTATTTTATCCAAATCACATATTGAAGTGACTATCTTAAGAAGGTTTGTTGATAGATGTGTAAAAGATTAGGGGAGTTTTTATAAGACACATTATAGTTGAGAGGTTTTTTTCTAAATTGCACCAAAATTGAGAAAAAGGTTATCTATAATACACCCCCATAAGAAGGGGCTTTTGTCAAATTGAATTAGTTGGGTATGTTTTTAAGATAATCCCCATAGTTGAGTGGGTTATTACTTTTCTTTTAAATATGGCTTATTCATAATTTGTCCATCAGAATTTTAATAATTTAATATTAGTCCCTAAAATTATGAGCATTTTCAAAATGTGAGGGCATAACATAGAATTTTTGGATATTTAAAATCAATGAACTAATATCTAAATAACATTTACATATTTACTCTTATAGGCATTGCATTAAATATCGATCGATATATTTCCTTATCGGCCAATATATGACGTTATAGACTTTATCTTGATAATATTTTATGTTGTTTTCTTTTGTTTGGTGATTTTTTTGATATATCGACCACTATCGAAAATATTGATGATATGTTCCTTTGAAGATATTGAGAAAATTGTGTCACTTTTAATTTGATTTTGGGCTCGGTTTTGAATTGTGTTTGGGAAACAAAATTGGAACCCACAAAACCCATAAAGGCTACAATTTTTCTCCTAAATTTCTCCACTTTCAGCTCTCCCAAACTTTAAGCATATATCCTGATATAAATTCTTATGTTTAAAATTCATTAATATGTTAGATTACATATTATAATGTCATGCTATGTTTGAATATTATCTCATATGACACCCAATATTATATACATCTCCCTGTTTCTACAATTCGATATCATAGATTTTATTTGTTCAATATTTATTTGATATCCAACACCCTATAGTAGTCATTCGAAAGCCTCTTCTAAAGTTTTCTAAGCGAAGTATATAATTTTAGGAAATAATTTAAAATCTTGAGACTCATTCAAAATATGATACTTTAATTTTTTTTCACATCTTCTCTACAATACAAATATAAGCTACGCATCTGGCTTCATATTGTATGACGAATATTATTTATCAATAGGATCATATATTGTTTGTGGATAACAAAGATTTTAAATCTTTTATAGGCTTAACAAACTTAAATATCTTATAGTTTACCAAAATTATACTTATATGCCTCCACTTGTATCTTGCTGCACTTTTTTTAATTTTAGAAAATGTATCTTAGCAAACTTAAATATCTTAATATTTTCTAAAATTTTATGTTTATATCTTCTGTTATATACCTAAACATTAGGGTGCTCTTTGTAATTCCCTACATGAGTGCCATGGTATAATTTTAGAATAATTCTATGTTTCATACTATTTTCATAAATACTTTATTAACAGACAATTATCTATTAATATATTATTATATATTACTAATAATTAATAGGGAAAAATGCTTCCAGCCCCCAAAAGCCAAGTGACCATGCTTCCCACCCCCAGGACTTGGTCAATGGGCGTTTTACCCCTAAAAATAAAGAATCTATTCTCTGAGCCCCCAAAACACAAAACCCAAGACATTAAAACATGTGAAGACCATAATACCCTTCTCTCTCTCTTTCTTTTTTTATTAAAATATGATAGGGATTATTTTATTATTTTTGTTTTCTCTCTCTCTTTATCATGATGTACCAAGAGGATAGTTAAAATGATTGATGAGGATTATTTTATTATTTTCGTTTTTTATTATTTTGGTTGTTTGTATTGGGAGGTTGTTAAAGTTACGGGTTGATTGTTAAGGTTACGGGTTGGTTGTTAAGGTTAAGGGTTTGTTGTTAAGGTTATGAATCCTCTCTCTCTCTCTTTCTTTTTTTATTAAAATATGATGGGGATTATTTTATTATTTTTGTTTTCTCTCTCTCTTTATCATGATGTACCAAGAGGATAGTTGAAATGATTGATGAGGATTATTTTATTATTTTTGTTTTTTATTATTTTGGTTGTTTGTATTGGGAGGTTGTTAAAGTTACGGGTTGATTGTTAAGGTTACGGGTTGGTTGTTAAGGTTAAGGGTTTGTTGTTAAGGTTATGAATCCTCTCTCTCTCTCTTTCTTTTTTTATTAAAATATGATGGGGATTATTTTATTATTTTTGTTTTCTCTCTCTCTTTATCATGATGTACCAAGAGGATAGTTGAAATGATTGATGAGGATTATTTTATTATTTTTGTTTTTTATTATTTTGGTTGTTTGTATTGGGAGGTTGTTAAAGTTACGGGTTGATTGTTAAGGTTACGGGTTGGTTGTTAAGGTTAAGGGTTTGTTGTTAAGGTTGTGAATCCTCTCTCTCTCTCTCCCGTAACTTTAACAACCTCCCAATACAAACAACCAAAATAATAAAAAACGAAAATAATAAAATAATCATCATCAATCATTTCAACTATCCTCTTGGTACATCATGATAAAGAGAGAGAGAAAACAAAAATAATAAAATAATCCCCATCATATTTTAATAAAAAAAGAAAGAGAGAGAGAGAGGATTCATAACCTTAACAACAAACCCTTAACCTTAACAACCAACCCGTAACCTTAACAATCAACCCGTAACTTTAACAACCTCCCAATACAAACAACCAAAATAATAAGAAACGAAAATAATAAAATAATCCTCATCAATCATTTCAACTATCCTCTTGGTACATCATGATAAAGAGAGAGAGAAAACAAAAATAATAAAATAATCCCCATTATATTTTAATAAAAAAAAGAAAGAGAGAGAGAGGATTCATAACCTTAACAACAAACCCTTAACCTTAACAACCAACTTGTAACCTTAACAATCAACCCGTAACTTTAACAACCTCCCAATACAAACAACCAAAATAATAAAAAACGAAAATAATAAAATAATCCTCATCAATCATTTCAACTATCCTCTTGGTACATCATGATAAAGAGAGAGAGAAAACAAAAATAATAAAATAATCCCCATCATATTTTAA